GGACATTGTTAACCACGGTTCTTATTCTGTCGCTTTGCTTTGTTTGTTTGTTTGTTTGTTTGTTTGTTTGTCTGCTAGTTTGTTGTTTTGTCAACATCATTCTCATCTTGTTTGTTCGTGCATTTCTTGGAGTAGGGAGAAGCACATCAACACAAAAGATTTCAAAGAATGTTTTTTTTTTTTTTTTCAATAGATGTTTTACAGCGCTCACAACTGCATAAGGTCATATGAGCGCCAGGAGATTAGAGGTGTTACAAGAGAGTAACAAACATAAAAAAGAAGAAGGAGAGATAAGGACGATATATGTTTAATATGAAAGAAGAAGCAAACCACACCAGAGCACCCGCCAACCACCCACAAAGAATGTTTTTGAAAAGTAAGGTATAAAAAAAATAATTTTAAAAAAAAGAAAGATAGTCAATCCTAAAAATATGAGTCAGTATGATATAGTTTGTTTTTAGGCTACCGGACTCGTAATCGTGAGGTTACGGGGTTGGTGGTTCGAGCCGCGTGCCCAACGTTGTGTCCTTGGGAAAGACACTTTACACGAACTTTCCTCACTTCACCCAGGTGGGAATGGGTACCCGGCCATAGACAGCGAAAGGTCTTGTCAGTATGTTTGTGTTTTAGCACCTATAAATGGCTGCTTGCACTGTATGCTTCCCAGGAAGTTGAGTTTGTTTCAGAATGCTCTCAGGTCTGCTGGGGTAATAGTATAGATTGTGAAGCGCATAGAGCTTGCTGTTGAGCGGGGATTTGCGTTGTACAAATGCTATCTATTATTATTGAGGGAAAGAAGGGAGGGGGGAGGGGGGAGGAGGTAAGAGAGATGGGGGGATGGAGGGACAGACAGACAGACCCTGGGATCACAAACTAAAATGCTTGACGTAAAACAAACAGTAAAGAGCACTCCCAGAGCCTACAAAACATAATCAGCAATGGGTGGCTGGTGGGTGCTCTGGTGTGGTTTGCTCCTTCTTTCCTATCACACACACACACACACACAAACACACACACATAAACACACACACACGCACACGCACACACACACACACGCCCACATGCACACACGCACACATGCACACACCTGCGCGCACACACACACACACACACACACACACAAACACACACACCAGTGACCACCCATCTTAACCCCGTGTCACCGACACTTGCTTGACATTTCTTGAGTCTGAACTCACTACCGGTACTCACTTAGCCACTGGAGCCCCCAGTTGTACTAAAATATTTTAGAAAACTAAATAATCGACAAACCCAGTTCCCACAATCTCACCTTTTTAGTAGTTTTAGTAACAGTTTTACAGCACTTGCAACACAATAAGGTCATATAAGTGCTGAATATTTTTAGAGGTGTTACAAGAGAGTAACAAATACAAAAAAGAAGGAGGAGAGATCAGGACGATAGATGTTGGACAGGAAAAAAGGAGCAAACCACACCAGAGCACCCGCCAACCACCCACCAATCTCACCTGAACGTGGCGATGAACGAGGGTATAAACATGGACTGGAACAAGAAGCCTCCAAACACGGCGAAGATGCTGAACGCGTAGAACAGGTTACACGGCTGCTCGCACAACATGGGCGTCGCAGTCTTCATCTTGCCTTCCACACATTTGCAGTCGTGATATTTCTGGAGAAAAAAACCCACACAAAAAGCTCAGTAGAATTAGCGACGGCAACTTATCGATATCATCAGTGCTCAGTCAAAGATTCTATGCAAACAAAGACCACAGAACATTCTATTTATGACCTCTGAGCATGGGCTACAACCAAAGATCCTATACTACACAAGGGTTCACTCCTCTCTTTGAGCCACTAAAAAAAGGGTCCTTAACCCTATCCGTACGTCGTGTTTTACTATCGTATCCATACGACGTGGGGAACTTTGTACCACCACTTTCCAAGAGGAAAGTTACTAGTTAATCCGATCCGTACGCTTTGCATAGCAGTCTGTCAGAATGATTTTTTGAGAAATACTGAAAGTTTCAAAGAGATCTTCGTACTAGAAGTATTCTAAAATGTGAAGAATACAACTCCGGGGGTACAAAATTACCCCAGGGGGTACGGATAGGGTTAACTCATTCAGCACTACAGACGAAAATACTCGCAAAACATGGGCCCCGCCCACAAACAAGCGATGAGTATTCTCGCATTCTGCCTCGCTATCTTTATAGAAAGAATTACTCTACCTAATCCATACCAAGTCACCTGAACTAATTGTGATGCATTATGGGAAAGATCAAAGAGACATATTTTTCTGTTCGAACATCCATTGAGCTCGCTAGTTTTTATTGATTTTCCGGGGGAGACCTAATTTCCTGTTGCCATAACAAAACTGCCGAGTATATGAGGGGAGTTCACTGGTGGGGCGCTCAGCCCTGAATGAGTTAAAATTGCTGGTCACACCATCTGAGAATTTGCACGAGCGCGGACACCTTTTTGGTTTTTTGGCAGAGTGAACAATTATCTTCTTGTTGCCTAGGGTCTTTGATACCACTCAGGATTTGTTAACAGAGATTCTCGTAGAAAGTGCTTAGATAGTTTCTTTGCTGTTTTAGTTTTAGTTAGAGTTTTATGGCACTTGCAACACAATAAGGTCATATAAGAGCTGAAGATTAGAGGTGTTACAAGAGAGTAACAAACACAAAAAAAGAAGGAGGGGGGATAAAGACAATAGATGTTTGATAGGAAAGAAGGAGCAAACCACACCAGAGCACCCGCCAACCCACCCACTTATCTTATCTTTAAGGCATCTTGCAACACCGCAGTCACAGAGAGCAGAACCCCCCCCCCCCCCCCCCACCGGTAGTGCCACTGACTGAAGTGTCTTTAGGCCATTCCCAAAGGGGGGACATTTCTCGTTCAAGCATAGCAGAATTGTAAATGGGCTGACTCATGTCACGCTCATAACTGTGCCTGATCTACAACAGGAAACTGCTGCTTTTTCTTTCTTGATCCTTACTATTGTCATTTTCCTTTACTCCTTTTGTATGTTTGTCACTCTCTTGTGACCTGCTATTTCCGGGGTGCCTTGATAGTCGAAGCAGACCTTGTGCTGTTGAAGCTAGAGAGGTGAGCTGTCTAAGTCTGATTCTCTGTAAAGACTTCTCTGTTGACACCCAGCCCTTGGTGCTCATATGACCTTATGCAGTTGCGAGCACCGTAAAACCCTCTACTATAAAAAAAAAGAGCCCAGAGAGATCTCGACTCACCCCGTCATAAGCCAGGCCACAGCCCGCGTGGCAAGGAGAGAAGTAGGACTTTCCGTCGGAGCCGCACATAGGAGAGTACATGTGGTCCACGCAGAGACACGTGTTGTTACATAACGTTGTCGACGAGCTGGGGACGGCGAGCAATTCCAACCTCGTTAATACGCATTGATGATGATAATAACAATAATAATAATAATAATAATAATAATAAAAATAATAATAATAATAATAACAATAATAATAATAATAACAAAAATATTAACAATAATAATAATAATAATAAAAATAATAATAATAATAAAAATAATAAGGATAATAATAATGTGTTAACAATAATAGTAATAATAATAATGATAATAACAATATTAAAACAGATAATACTAAAAATGTTACTAATAATAGTAATGACATAATTAATAATGATAATAGTAAAAATAATAATTAATGTGTCACGACACTGTGGAATCAAGCACTCGTCAATTTACGGGCACATGGAGTTATTGATATCATCTTATAGCCTGTTTATTTATCTTGCTTTCGTTGAATGTTGTTGTTGTTGTTGTTAGCGATCCAGTAGCATCTGAGCGTTAACTCTTCTGCATGATGCCATTCGGTAATAGTTGCATGTTTGTTCTAATTGCTGTCTTGAGGAGTAGAGGCAGTTAGATGTGTGGGGTAGCTTGGGAAGAAAACATCCCCTTAAATCAGTTCGTTTTGTACAGAAGAACAGATGATGTTCCACTGTCTCTGAGGGGTAGTCACATAGTGGGCAGGCAGCAGACTGCTTTACTCCAATTTGGTTGAGATGTTGGTTGAGGGGTACATGTTGTGTTCTAAGTTGCTTTCGGTGAATAAAAATACCAAGTTATCTTGAACAGAAGTCGAGATATTTGCGATTGAAGGAGGTAGGGGTCGCCTGGTTTCAGATGTCAAACGAATGAGAAAATGGCAGCCAAAGTTTGGTGATTTCCAAAGTTTGAGAATCCCTGGAAACTGAAAATTTACTTTTTTATGTTGCATAACGTTGTCGATGAGCTGGGGACGCCAAGCAATTCCACCCTCGTTAATACGCATTGATGATAGGCTAATAATAATAATAATAATAATAATAAATGACATTTACAGAGCGATCAACCCCAATTAAAGAACACAGGCTCTGAGCCCTTTGCAAACAAAACAGCACCACAAAAACAGTGCACTGTGTTCTCACTACAAATCTAGATATATCTCTCATTAATCTTAAACAGAAATTTCCGTAAAAGTTCTACGGCACTTGCAACACAATAAGGTCATATAAGTGCAAAAGAATAGATGTGTTACAAGAGAGTAACAAACACAAAAAAGAAGGAGGAGAGATCAGGACAACAGATGTTTCGTTGATAGGAAAGAAGAAGCAAACCACACCAGAGCACCCACCAACCACCCACTAAAACGGAAATGACTGTCACTGACACTTGAACCAATCAAAAGATTTGGTCTCTCTTACATAACTCGGAATGCAGTACATTCCAGATTTTGGGGCCATGATATGCAAGTACAGTGCTAATATAATAACAATAATAACAATAATAACAATAATAACAACATGCCCATACATCTTGAATAGAAGTCAAGACATTTGATATTGATGAAGGAGGCGTCGCCTGCTTTCAAAGGTAGAATTATCGAGAAAATGGCAACCAAAGTTTGGTTATTTCCCAACCTAGATAGTCGGTGGAAACTGAAAACTTACATTTTTGTGCCTTTCATCAACGTTTTTCAGTGAAAAAATCCACCCAGAAATGTGTTCTTAACTGGACAACAATGGTTTTAAGCCGAAAAGAAAACTTTGATAAAAATTACAAAATGGCAGAAAAATGCGAGTTTCTTCAATTTCCTTATTTTGACGAGCGCCTGATTTCACCATATTGCATCACAAACAGTCAATGAAAGAAAAGTGGACGTACAGGTTTCTTAAAATTGAACTACAGAGCTCGATCAAGCAGTTCCCCCCCAAACCACCACTCACTTTGTCATGAACTTGTCTCCCTTGTCCACCTCCGGCTGGTCGCAGCCGAGCCCAATCCCCGTGGCCTGAACCGCCACCAGGAGAACTGCGACGGCCACTGTGACCTTGAGGCAGCCCGTGGCGGTGAGGCGGAGCTTGGTGGTGAGGACTCCTCCAATCACGGTCCCGATGGCAGCGAACACGATGTAGCACATAGCTGAGGACCGTGGGGTGGGGTGGGGGAGGGGGGGGGGGGATGATATTTAATTTTAGTATGAGTTTTATGGCACTTGCAACACAATAAGGTCATATAACTGCCGAATATTAGAGGTGTTACAAGAGAGTAACAAACACGAAAAAGATGGAGGGGAGATAAAGACGATAGATGTTTGATAGGAAAGAAGTAGCAAACCACTATAGAGCACCCTTCATCAAAGTTGGAATGGGTATCCAGCGTAGGTGGGAAAGATGTCTTGTATATATTATAATACGAATGAAAGGTGCAATAGCCTGGGAAATATCATAATCACTGCTACAAAAGTTAAACATGATTTCTCAATCTTTTAATTTTGTTTTTGTTGTTGTTTTTAAATCTATTGACTGGCACTGTGCTCTTCTCAAACATCAGGAAAAAAAAGAGTAAAACCAAAGAATACATCAATATGTGAGGCAGCGTGGTGGAATCAGGCTATCGTCAAAATAATCAAAGTGAAGAAACTCGCATTTTTCTGCAGGTTTGTGAATTTTTATCAAATTTTTGTTTTTTGGCTCAACACCTTTCATGCCCATTAAAGAACTCATTTCTGTGTGGATTTTTCTGAAAAACGTTGATTAAAGGCACAAAAAATGTAAATTTTCAATTACCACAGACTCTTAAGCTAAGGTAATAACTAATCTTTGGCGGCCATTTTCTCAGTAATTTTACCTCTGAAAACAGGTGACCCCCACCTCCTTCTTTCGTAAATATCTCGACCTGTATTCAAGATAAATGGATATTTTTTTCATCCAAATAAAAACAAGTGAACAAGCTTTAAGATGATACCAATAACTACATGCCCAAAAATTGATGAGAGCCTGATTCCACCGTGCTGCCTCACATACAAAAAAACAACCAAAGCTACAACAACAAAATAAACAACAAGAAATAACTCAAACTCACCCACAATTGCACTTTCTTCAAACGGAGGCAAGGAGAACTGGGTCTCGATATATTTTGGTAAATGGAAAGCAAATCCGCTGGCAGCCAATACCGTGGCTGCGTTCCCCAGGACAACCAATAGGAAGAGAGGATTCTTTAGGAGGCGGAACAAACCTGTCATAAAGCCTGAAAAAAACAACAAAAAAAAACAACTGATGTCAAGTTTTTGTAAAAATGAAACGGTATAGGTTTAACACCCCTATCAACACTATTAGGTTATTTAAGGGACGGGACCTCCTAGTTTAACGTGCGTCTCCGATAGGACAAGTTTTTGCGACTCGTGTAATATTTTTTTTTTTTTTT